TATTTCCAATTATGGATTATAAACTGAATTATGAATGGAGTTTAGCATTTTTTCCTCTATTGTTTAATAACTATGCAATTTTATTGGTTAATAATTGTTTTGGTTTATTGTTTGTTCCTTCCATCAGTCATGTATCCGTGATTTGTTCGATGCTTCAAGTACGAACTTATATTATTCATGTACAATATAAACACGGCATGCTACCGGTACTATTTAGCACCTACTTTACTAAACTATCGGACATCCATGACCATAACACAAGAAGCGCAGCAGGCCAAAACCATTTTATAGACAGAGTTATGACAGCTTATTGCCGGAACACAATCAAATTCCAAGGAGCGAAGTATGGAACGAACTTGCTCCGGATTTACCAGCTGCTCTCTGAACAAACTAAAATATAAAATAAACACATCCTACTGTCAAACTATTCTTGTCCATAAACATATATTATTATTTAGTATATATACCCAAACCAACACACACCTTGTAACCAATTGTAAACCTGTAACAAATATATCTTGTACTGAACAGATTCATTCATGTTCTACTTGCGTAGCTACCATGAATTCATAATCATACTGTAATATATTAACTATATATATATGTATTATTATTATGTATATATTATATGTATCAAACCTGTTTATTTTTATTTCTATGAGATTCCGAACATCAGTATTTATTATTTTTTTTACTTTTCCTAATTTGCAATACAGCGAATATCTGGCTCTCCATATTATGTCTACTGTACATATAGAGGGTTAGCTGACTTGATGACCCTATGGCTTTCGCTACCCCATCAACCCTTCAAAATAATGTTTTCTGCATTATTGTATTTTTGCAAATTATGGTGATAAATAAATTTTTTGAAATTGAAATTTGAAATTTGATGCAGGTTGTCGAATTAGTTACCGAAGAGTCGCTCCACAGCAGGATGGGGAAGCTGATACGGCTGAGGCAGAGCTCGGGCGAGACCTCCCCGTGCATCGATAGCGTATCGTCAGGTCACGGCTGTAGCCTGGCTCAGGTAAGATCACCTGCTGTCGATGTTTGTGTCAGAAGTGCCATCCAGGTGGTGCGCAGGTGAATTTTTAAACGAGTATGGAAAATATGACAGTAATGATGTGCGATGAAATAGGTGAATAAGAACTACCCATACTCCTGCATAATGTATGTGACTTTGTGTGGGTAGATAGATGTTTGCGAGAAACATACATACATTTTTAATGAGTATATATATAATTAGTATCTCTATAGTGGTTTCAGTAGAAGCTGGTGCGTAGCGAATTCAGCTGCATATTTTGTCTTACACGCTATGACTATGTACTTTATACCCTATCAAGCTGCAAGACTAACGGACCTGTGGCTGTTTAACATAAGGCCCTTTTGACCTCATATTATCTCCCTTGATACTTGTAGTATGCATGCTCTACTATACTCGTAGGGCTCGTATTTTCAATACAATAATATGTAGTAAAATCCATGTATATAGCCCGTTACAAAATTTATTATTAAAACTTCATGATTCTGCAAACTAGTATTTGGATTGTATCGAAACAATACGGAACTATTGGGCCAGCCCATTTTGCACTGAATGATAAACAATGGTATCAAACGAACTGTGTTCAGTCCATCATAAAAAAAACCTAAGAAGAATACAGATGAAAACAATTCATATTTAAGATATTAGGGCTTGAGTGACAGACTAGTGAGAGGACAGAAACCATAAATTTGTTTTCATAGCCTTTACACTTTAATACTCATGTATGTTTATGCTGTTTGGTCTGACACAGTGGGATTAATATAATTTGATACGTGCACACACAATCACTACATTCGATCTGCTAACCGAAATCTTAATTCTGCTAAAGTGTGTGTACAGATTTAAAACATACACATTTTTTAACTGAGCGAAATTCTGGCATATTCTGTTTCTTTGTGATTTCATTCGTAGTGTATTTAATCGAGTTTTATTGCCTCTCGCAGGAGCCTAATAATTCCAGCACGACAGACGAGGAGGGATATGACAAAAGTAGCGATGACACAGCGAGCCAAGAAGGTGAGGAAGACGGCTGGACAGTCGTTAAGAAAGGAAATAAGCGAAACCAGTCGCAAATACCCGACAGCGGATCGGTCGTCGTCGTCGTCGATTCGAACAGCGACGTCATCACCGTCGTCAACAACGCGCACAACGCCGAGGAAGCGATCAAATCCGAACTCGAGACCGTCTACGACGACACGCGCGCGCAGACCGCCGCCGCCGCCGCGACGACGGCGCGAAAGCAGGGTCGGCGGCGGCACAGCAGCGACAGCGACCTGTTGGTGCGGCGCGAGGACGCGGCTCGCTCGCTGTCCGACACCGAGTCGCTGAGTCTCGAGGTCGTGTGCAGCCGCGGCGCGACCCTTCGCGGCATCCTCAAGAAACGCGGCGGCGGCGGCAGCGTCTGCCGCAGCGTGTCCGAGTGCAGCGTCGACTCGGCGACGACCACCGAGGAGTACAGCTGCAACGACGAGGGAGACCTCGACGACATCGTGGAGACCGAGGAAGTCAGCGGCGGCAGCGGCGGCAGCGGCGGCAGCGGCAGCGGCGGCACGCGGGTGAAGAAGAGCGTGACGTTCAGCGAGAAGGTGTCGCGAGCGACGTTCAAGTCAACGGCTCTCATCGGCGTTCTGCGGACTCGCAAGCGCAAGCCGAAGAAGAAGGAGAAGAAGGCGAGGCGATCGGAGAGCGGGGGCGACTTGAGTAGCAGCAGCGAGGCGGACGGCCTGGAGAAGCAGGGTTCGGTGGACTCGCAGGAAGACGTGTGGGAGGAGACTTCCGAGCTGCCTCCCGCTGCGTCCGTCGCATCGGAGGCGCGTTCGGAGGTGCTCTCGGAAGTTTATCTCAACCAGCTAAGACAGGAGGAAGATGTTTCGCAGTGCGAGCGTGCTGCGGGTGAGAATGGAGCCGACGAGCTTCAGTGCGGCGTGAAGGCGGCAAGTTCGTTCGACTCTGCGGAAAACGACGGTGACACGGACCCGTGGGACGAAATAACTCACGACCGCCGTGAAAACGGTAGTAAAAAGAGTAAAAAGAAAAACAAGAAGCGTAAGAAAGGCAAACGTGAGGCGGTGGCTGAGAAGGTCGACGGTGTCAGTAAAGATGTGCCGACTGCGCTGAGTTGGAATGGCGACGGTGTGAATGGCGGTGACACGTGCGGAAATCAGAGGACCAAGTCTGCTGTGACGCTCCGCAACAAACTGGTTTATGCTCTTGACAACTAGTTTCGTATGACAACCAATATGCGTACATTCGTGTAAGACGCCAGCCGTGTAAACTATCCTTCATTGATTCCTTGGTTGCTGTAACCTCAGCTGTGCAAAATTTATCAACTTTTAATATTGCATTCTTATGTATTTGGTGCGTGGATAGGTATACCGTGTGAAGCGAATAAGGAAGTATTTTGCTCACCTACCTACCTACCCCTACGATGCTGTGCCGGGGCTACTTCAAACAGAAATCATTCATGGGTGGACACCGGCATGTAAGCATAGTTGCAAACAAGTTTTCATGGCTCAGAGTTTTTCAGATGCATGCCCTATTATGAAAGTTGCACATCTGTAGGTTGTAGTTACATACGCACACTTATTGGGTGGAGTAATGGTGCAAAATAAGTCCATCCACAGACAAGTATATTTTACTGATACTAATGTTAACAGAAATGCCTTCCTTTACCAAGACGTATTTTTCTGAAACTTGATGGCGTAGGTGGAGTGGTCGAGCATGGGCGAAAAATGTTATATAAAAAAATATCCGAGTATAGGCCATATATATATGTAAACGGTGCCAGCGGACTTACCTAACATGACAGCTCTATCTAAAAGCAGAATTTCTAATGATTAAATATATGCAGCTAGTTATACGATTTGTTTACATGACGTGTCTAGCAGTGTCTTCAGAAAATCTGTGCGATTTTAGAGGAATGCAGTTCTGCAACGAAAATGTAATGAAATTAAAAAAATAACTGGATTTAAAATATTTTACTGTAAAAAACATTTCAGTTATTAATTGAAATACAAAACTGCTATATAAACAGGGGGTTTGTGCATATTGTACCTTCCACATTCATACGTTATGTATATTGAGACTGTCTGATTTAATATACTAAATGTGTGTAGACATCACACAATTAGCACAGGCATCACTTTTATCCAGAATTGTTGGGATATTTGTAGCCACTGATTAATTTTAATATTTCTGTACTAGTGGCGTTACGGACAAAAATGTTAATCTAGTCGGACAGTCTGGGTTTTGTACAAAAACAAACAAACATGAAACTAATTTTCAGGTGGACGATATTAATGACCTGCACAGCTATACTAGTATATTTTTTGTGTAAGGTGAATGTACATAGCGACTTTTTTTTATGAGACATCACCTGGATTCAATTGCACAAGGCCTCTCTCAAGGACTCGTATTAAATTTTTGATGGGATTTATATTTTGACCACAGAATAGTGTAACAACAAACAGGTTTATTCTGGCGTTATTAGTAAACTATTATACAGTTGTGACCACGTGGCTAGTCATAGACATATGTTAGGAAGTTCAAATATTGTTTTTACCTGTTACTCAACAGTGAAGATTGAAAACGTACCCAGATAGATCTATTACGGTAGTCTACCAACCGAGTGAACTTATTTAAAATGAATTGTTTTTGACCGTTAGGTTTTATTCACGGTTTATTTTTGGATTGCTCAACTTGTGACAGCATTCCTTTATATAGTCGTTTTAGAATTATCAGGCTAATGCAGAAGATAAGCAGAAAAGTGAGGCTCGGGGTAAATGGCTCAAAGCTAAATGCACATTGTTCACAATGAAGTAATATGCCCTCCATAACATAGAAAAAGTTGTGGATAGAATGCCAATTGTATTTTTTTGATTTGTGTTAATGCATTTTCTAAATAAAAACATAGTAGTATTATTACAAAAAAATGCATTGTTCTTGATGCTTTATCACTTTCATTCTGCCATTATTTAAGGTGCAGTACGCTTCATCAAGAATGTTCACACGCCAACCCACAATACTTATACTGATCCCTGACCAGATCATATGTTTAGTTGTAATAATTCAACTTAATATTTGAAATAAAATTCCGATTAGATCTCACATAAATATTTGTCTCTATCATCAAAAAAGTATTTTCGACACAGTCAACGTCTGCCTATTTCAGTCCATACACAACATTTTTTTAATATCAGCTGCTTGCTACTCCCACTTGTTGATTTATACAATGAACTACTTGTCAATAATGGACGGTAAATTACACGATCATTGTAAACTTATTTATACTTTATTTAATGTCAATCACAAGCATCAATATCAAAAAGTTATCACAGTAGTTAGCACTAATATAATCAGTGCAAAAGCATCAGCTTGATCACACGTCCTATGTTGACTGAAGTAATAAACTGATTACGATTGATTACGACTGTTGACAGTACATGGTGATCGTTGTGGGACGAGATAAAAGGACGGAGTACAAAGGTAACAACATTAAATCTACACCACAATACCTTACTGCAGCTACAAGGACGAACTGCCAGTGCAAGATAATCATTCTGAGAGATGGAATAGTAGTGATCCACCTATGTGGAAAATTTGAGATAAAACAGAAAATTCATGAATGCATTTTCACGATAATCAACTTGAGCTTACATAAGTTCATTCAGAAGCTCGTATTTTAGCTGATAGGGTCTATGTCCCACAGGGTACTGCCGGAACGTACCCTGGTAACTATGTGATATGCCGGACCGTACCTCGCTTACTCCCCACCGTACCCTGACTGTCCCTGTTCCGTCCACTACTGATGTCGCAAAATTTGAAATATACATACAGACCGCCAATATTTATATCCTTATAAAGTTGGATTGGAGTATGACACTGTGAAACCAAGAAGAAATTTCAACCTATATACACTGATACGCGCAATCCTTTTGCAAATATCGCGACGATCGGGAATGCGTTTTCCTTTCGCAATGTTTACGACATTTTAGCGCGAGATTTTGAAAGATGGCTCCAAGAAGATCTCCAAGTGTTGTGGAACAGGAAAATTTGTATGATTATCTTAATGGGTTGGAAACGTATAGTCTCGCTGACACTTGTAGAATAATTACACGAATACTGAAACAAATATTTTGCGAGAACGGACCGGAAAAAAGGAACGGGAGCATAAAGCGGCGCGTTTCCTGCCAACAAGCGGTATATTTATTACGACATCGGCTGAAAGTCAGGGTACGGTTTGGAGTAGGCGAGGTACGGTCCGGCATATTAGATAGTTACCAGGGTACAGGGTACGTTCCGGCAGTACCCTGGGGGACATAGACCCTATCAGCCGTATTTTACTCAGCTAATGAAAGCTGCATTATTTGTGTCAATAACAACGATAAGCAAACCAAATTCAGTTCCAGGATTTTCTACGTTTTCCACAACGAATACACAACCATGTAGGTGACCAATGACCATCTGTACACTATCGAGGCAGCATATGCTCCAGGTTTGCTACACTATAGGCTACGACTGACCAAACAGCAGCACACAAATCGACAGCATCGGCGTTGAGGACCGACATTGTATCACCTGAAACAAACATTCAGCTAATGTTTTATTAAATGTAAACTGCAACGATTAAATTAATGATGAAACCTCGAATAAAATAATATTGCTACACAGCCACAGAGCATTCAGCAACAGAGAGATAGAGTGTGGCAAGTTAACTCGCAGCGCTACCAGAGGCAGTGGACTAACCCCCTACTGTAGCATTTACTGTGAAAGCAGCTGCGGGGCCACAGGGTTACGGAAACGGAGATAGGCACCGCCCTATGCGCCTATGTTCCACATAGGTGCGGGAAGGATTTAATTTTTTCAACACAGCCACACAGATAAAGACACTGCCTGGATACAAACATATTTATGTTTACTCTTTGGAAAACGGCTACTTGGAAGCTTACGGCACTTGATTAAGAACATATAAGCGGTATACATCTAGCTCGCATACATGAAAAAATGTAATTACCATTGGAGTGGTGAAACCAGAAATACTTTTCGGGATCAGTCGTCCTAAGGGCCACAGCAGGCACTCCCGCATCGGCCCAAACATCGATATCTGGACCATCAAAATCTCCCGTAATCATGGAAACATTCAGTGGCTTCAGAGGTCTGACGATTCTTTTCATGATCGCTGTTGCTACTTTGTTGCCTTTGATGGAAGAATATTTCAAATGCATCAGGTACCATGCCCACATTCACCAAGGCAATTTCACATGGAAATGCTAGAGAAGCATTTTATATACTAATACTATCTATATCTACCCTATTATCTACTCCTGATATATATTCATTCATTTATTTAGAGATGGGGTGGAAAGAGAGAGAGGGGAAGAGTCACGAGTACAATTAGTGCGTCAATCTACGCTTGACAGAAATAGCGTCCGGTTGTGCTGTGTACAATACATGTATCTTGTGTACAAGATGTACATGTATTTATGTGTACATGTGTTTATGTGCAATCTTGAGGCACTAAGCCTGCCTCGAATTGCCACCATACTATAATGGTACTACATAGACGACGTAGACATAATAATACATGGTAATACATGTATGTAATACATAGACTATATTGTCATACTATGTTGCCACAGCCAATCAGAATTCAACAGATGTAGCAGCGCTAGTAAGGCGTGTTGTTTTGCTGGCGCGGTCACTCAGGCTTGGCCGGGTAGCTTGAACATTGAACGCAGCTGTAGCGTGATGGAGGGGCAGGATAGTTAGATTTCCGCTTACCAAGCTCGTCATCCCATTCCGTGCAAGCACTACTACTAGGCTCACCTGTTTAATAGTGTTTCTAACGCTCCGAGAACTATATGAATATATATAGATAAGTTCAAGGGCAAATATATACGTATTTAGCATACTTATGTACAGAATGCGGAGGCTTGGACTTTAATTTTCTAAACAAAGAGTGCCGCAGGTATGTAAACATAATATATAGGATTTCTACAACTAAGAAGAGCTGCACCGGTTGTCGTACGTTTCTTTTTTGAATATGTCACGTGTAATACAGATAATTTTTAATAGTAGTGCCCGGTCTAGTAAACCCGTAATACATTTACGAAACACATGTACATGTTGTTTGAAATATTTACGTTTCTAACTCCATCGCACATAGAGTGAAAATGTACAATGAACACAAGTGTCATGACCTACCTTGTGCCGTGTTATTGCAAACATATATTAGAAATATACAAACTTTGCGAGTAATACGGTCTAGAAATACAACTAGGATGTGATTCTGGTTCATGTAATTCCCTTTTCTAGAGGTTTCTAGTCTAACTAACTAGTGTTCTTTAGAGTGACAGCCTCATTCTGGCAATCCACGCGTACATGTACGTAATGACGTAATGCATGTAGCGGAATGACCGCGAGAGTGGCACTCGTATGACTCGTATAGATAGATATATCCACAACTACCTGTTACTAATTGCTGCTAATGTAACATAATATTATTATACATTCATACTGCAGAATATATTCATACTACAGGAAGTGTTTTTGCAGTGTAAATTGGGTTAAATATATTAGTGCAATAGGCCCCTACAGTGCAGACACCGCATACAGTTAGGATCATATAAACACGTTTACTTATTCCACTGATATTTTGTCTTTTTCTATAAGGTATATAGTCCATAAATGTTGATAAGAGAAGCAGTGATACCGTTATATAAGGATGGTTATGCTAGTGATTCTATACAGGAAACTTGTACCTCAATTCCTGCTGTGAACTCCAGATAATATGTAAACACTGTGATTATCTATTCATAGAATTTGAAGCTCAGTGCCTACGACAGGTTCAACTTCAAGGCCTAACATACTTTTTGCAGCCTGTGTTGCTTTTTTTATAGTGAATTTGATATCTTTCGAGAAGTTAAAAGTTAAAACACGCTGAAACATTACTGATTCCTTGCTTGAAGCATAGATGGGTACAGCATTGCTGTGCCGATCCATGGTTAATCGATTATTCCAAATTATGGATTATAAACTGAATTATGAATGGAGTTTAGCATTTTTTCCTCTATTGTTTAATAACTATGCAATTTTATTGGTTAATAATTGTTTTGGTTTATTGTTTGTTCCTTTCCATCAGTCATGTATCCGTGATCTTGTTCGATGCTTCAAGTACGAACTTATATTATTCATGTACAAATATAAACACGGCATGCTACCGGTACTATTTAGCACCTACTTTACTAAACTATCGGACATCCATGACCATAACACAAGAAGCGCAGCAGGCCAAAACCATTTTATAGACAGAGTTATGACAGCTTATGGCTCGAACACAATCAAATTCCAAGGAGCGAAGTTATGGAACGAACTTGCTCCGGAATTTACCAGCTGCTCTCTGAAACAACTAAAATATAAATATAAACACATCCTACTGTCAAACTATTCTTGTCCATAAACATATATTATTATTTAGTATATACCCAAACCAACACACACCTTGTAACCAATTGTAAACATTGACCTTGTAACAAATATATCTTGTACTGAACAGATTCATTCATGTTCTACTTGCGTAGCTACCATGAATTCATACTGTAATATATTAACTATATATATGTATTATTATTATGTATATAT